TGACAAGTTTTGTGCACAGAAGTAATGAGTTTGGCGTGTAATGTAGTGTGATCGTGCACCCGACATCAATGTTTTTCACTGGACGCGCAAATTTCGGGGGTACGGTACGCCGCCTGACAACCTGAACTTATAATCTTGTGGGGTGGTCGTTTTGCACTTTCGTTGCTCCACTAGTTTCACTTTATCAGTTTCACTGTGAACTCTTGTGAAGCTGGAGCAAGCTCGTCGAGCCAGCAAGGTTAATGGTATTTAAAAGGGATTTCAGTGCATTACAAGAGTCAACAAGTGGTTTCTACGAGCTTTTTCGTGGCTTCACAAGATTTTGCAGGTGTCCACTTGATGGGTGTGCCCGTCGATGGGAGGTAGCAGAAATGCAAAATGCTAGGGTCTAGTGAGCATTAGTAAAGACTTTAAATTCTGGTGAAGCTGTCGCTTTTTTTGAAACCGCTTATGTAAATTTTATCCACTAAATCACAACATGTTAGATGAGAGCAAAATCCATGAACAACTGGAGTGTAGGGAAAAGTTGTGATTGCAGGAGGTTTGGCACCTGAAGTGCCAAGCGATGATGGTCTTTGCCCCATCTCTTTTTCCGTTCTCGCCACTTATTGATCGCTAATGTTGTCCACAACTAGCGGCCACGTATCGCTGACGTGACCTGTGCTGTTCTTTCCGTTCGCCCCTGTTCTCACCTATCAACCTTCACTGGGAACTCTACAAATGACGGGTTTCGGTTTTGCCATCGACCGTGGTGGCACATTCACTGACGTTTGCGTTTTCAAACCTGATGGCACCACTCGAGTACTCAAGGTGCGTGTTTTTCATTCTTGTTGGTTGCTATGAAAACCAGTTCGGCGATGGGGGAGGGAAGGGGCATTTTGTACTTTCTCTGCTTCACTAGTTCCGGTTTACAAGTTTCACCACGGTGAAACCTGTGAACTTGCCTGAAACTGGAGCAAGCTCGTCGATTTACCGTGTAAATGATATTTGTGTGGTATTCCATTACTTTACAAGAACTGACAGGTGGTCCCTACAAACTTCGGATGGTATCATTTCATGGCATCAGATTTCTCACGTCTAATGTTTGGCTCGACACGTCGATAGAAAGTAGCAAAAGTGCAAATGTCCACTCCTTCCCCCCCCACCGTCGTCGAACTGCACCTGGGAACCGTTTTACCGAGGAACAATAATAAAACTAGGCTACTCGTGTAACTTATTTTTCACTTATTCACAATGCACCGATATGCCCAGAAAGTGGGTTGACTCATAGGTAATGTATTTTTTAATTCGAAATTTTGCCATGAAGATAGAGCTTTTCATCAGTGAGTGGAAGTGCTGCGAAAGAGGGTTCGACCACACCCGCTCAGCTCTTCGACGGCGTTCATACTTCGCGGCGATCATGCCGATCGCGGCGATCTACGCGACAGAGCGCGTCCCAACGCTATGACTTAGACCGCTCCGAGTTAGGCAGAATCGGCTTAATTCCGTGCTCTTCTTAATTACAATTGTCTCAGGTATTGAAGCCTGTTTTGACTCAAGGAAATGTTAACTCAACTTAATGGTGTTTACTCAATGGTTTTTCTTTTCTGTTTTCTTTTTTTGATTCAGGATAGAAATGAGTAAAAAGCGTGAGGCTTCATCTAGGGTAAATTTCGTATTGTTACTTTCCCCATTTTTTTGAGCTTATACGTGAAGTTATGAAGTTTCCCCTTCTTGACATTGCAGTAAAAGAATTAGTGTTTCGATTCCTAGATGGGTTTCTTTCTATTTCGTTTTTTTCGTTGTTTGAACTCGACTTGTAAACTATAAATGTTTCGGAAGTTAGAACAGTTTGGCCAATAGGAAACTTCTGAGACACTTATATAAATTGAAACAATGAAAACAAAAGAATTAAAAAGGAAGCTCACTTAGGAGATGAAGTTGCTCTCATCCCGACCTTAAAAAACCTTCATTTCTTCAAAACATAAAAACCTTTATTCTAGATTAGATCCTCCTAAGTACAAAAGTTTTCACTTGGTAGCTATTATTAAAAAGGGGGTCCTACAAGTTGGATTTCCTTATTTATCAAAGCGAGCGGTCCAAGTAATAGCGTTGGGGCGCGCTCTGTCGCGTACCGACGATCGCGGCGATCGCTACGATCGCCGCGATCGCCGCTGCTGTCGCGAAGTATGAGCGCTGCCTTCCACTGAGTGGGGTGTGGCCAAACGACAGTCGCCCGCCGTTGTGCCCATTGCTTTTAAGCTGCCTCAAGAGACAGTTGCTCGACTATACACTCCATGAATTTTGAGCTGCTCCTGCTGCTTCGGTATGTCGATCAAGCAGGAAAACCTTGTATCAAGGTCGCTCTTTTCGTCATCTGCCCTAAAATTGAACAAAGACTGAGCGAGCACAAAAAGACTGGGCATGCTATCTTGGAGCGCATGAATCAAGTAGATGCGTTGATAAAACATGCCATCTTTCACGCAACTTTTTAGGTCAGAAAAAAGCGCTGTCACTTATGGGACAACTGAATATTTGTAATTTTTTCCAACCAGTGCCTCTTCCGGCTCACGGTAGCCCGTTTCCACCCTGCGCCCTTTCCGTTAATAATCTTGTCACTGTTTTCTTCGACTAGGGCTCTCAGGATATTCTGTATCTCTTTATTCTGTCCTGCAATATATTATTGACAAAGTTTACCTGTCAATGTGTTGACTGTTAATTCATAAACCTGAGTTGGCCTCAGAGAGACCAAATTGATAAGCGATAATGGTGCTGTTGTCTTTTAGGTGCTCTCAGAAGATCCAGCAAACTATGCTGACGCTCCTACAGAAGCCATACGACAAGTTTTGGAGCAGGAGACCGGTGGTCTCCATCCCTCGAGGAGGTCCAGTTCCAGCTGGTGGGTAAAGAATGATGCTACTGTACTTGTCTCCACTAACCCAAATTTCCTCTCCTGCTGCCACCTCTCCTTTCCTCATTCCATCTATTATCTTCCAAAATTTTCCAACTTCCTACCACTTTCTCTCCCAGTCAATAAATTATGAACTTTCAGTTCTCCCAAAACTGGCGTCGAGCGGAAGGTTGGGAGGATACATAGCGAATATGAAAGGAGAAAACCGAGGAGCGTCTCTGAGAAAATTCTATGAAGGCCATATACGAATCTTTCCTCAGCGACGATCTGCTCACAGCTACAAAGGATCGTATCGGCCTAAATAAACTAAGCCCTCCTTCATGCCCATGCGCGCTCGCGTATACAAAACAGAATCCCAGATTCGCCTGACTCATCCTCCATATTTGCAGGACTCCAACGGACTACCACCTCTTTTGGTCGTAAACCCACCCTTCCTGAAAGATAACAGGTACAATGACAGCAAACTCTTAGAAATAGGAACCTAGTGTTACTCAGTTTGAAGCGTAATGAAAGAAAGTACGTGCACCTCCTTATCGAGCAGTGAGGAAGAGCTTGTGAAACGATCGCGGCTTTTACTGTCTAGAAAAGAGTGAATTCAAAGCGAACAACCCGGTTTTTTCCCAGTTTTGGGCCAAATATCGCCTAGGCACTATTCGGACATCGCAACGACAGTGTTTCTATCGCGCGTAGGACTCGATCGCTCGCGCGACAACCGGTCGTATGAGCGATCGGGTCGTACGCGCGACCGAAACGTTGCAGTCTCCAAGTCTGAACACTGCCTTGTGTCGGTCTAATCCTATCTATGTGTTGAGTAAATTCTTTTGTTGCCACCCATTGCTAGATTATTGTCAGCAGAGGCTGGAACTTATTAGCATTCCTAGTGCAAAGCAGTACTGTTTGGCAACAACGGGACTACCAAACAGTATAGTTTCGATTCCAGAGCAGATTTCTTGGATTCGCATGGGTACGACCGTTGCCACGAATGCGTTGCTTGAGCGAAAAGGAGAACGGATAGCGTTATTAATCACCAAAGGATTCAGAGATCTCCTCTATATAGGCAATCAGACGCGTCCAAAAATCTTCGACTTCGATATACAAATTCCAGGGGTGGGTTCCATTATTCCTTATTTCCTTAGGGGTTTTGAACCACGACTGTCGACACATGTATTGAGGGCAAAGTTTAGGTTCTGTATGAGGAAGTAGTTGAGGTGGATGAGCGCGTCATCCCATATGATGACAGTTGCCAGCTAGGTGAAATTGGATGCGTGCAAGAGACGTTCTTTGGGAGAAAGGTTTGTTGGTTTTCGGTACCGCCATTGTTTGGAAAGATCCCAATTAAATATGCCGATAGACATCTATAGTATCCTTTTCGCTCAAATCGCCGTTTCGCTCAGATCTAATTCTTCCGAAACGCTATGACGCAAGGTATGGGCGCAGCCTCAGCCTTAGGCAGCGTTCAGACTTCGCTACGGCAGCGCTTCGGTCGCGCGTTGGACGCGATCGATGCAGTCGAAAGCATGCGCATCGATCGCGTCGAACGCGCGACCGAAGCGCTGCTGTCGCGAAGTCTGAACGCTGCCTTACTGCTCAGTTTCTGATACGCGCACCCGCAAGGCGACCGTGCTGTACGAGAGCTGTCGATTTTGCTATTTGTCGTCTTTTAATAATTGATATGACATCTAGTCGCCATGATAATTTCCGTTATATGTGGATGAGTAGAAAGTGAAATGATGGGGATGAGCCGTCATACATTCAGGTGATCGTGGAAAAAGAACCTAATGACGTCGAAGTCAGGGAGATTCTGAAGGCTATCAAGTCGAAAGGAATAAAGAGTGTTGCGGTGGCGTTCCTTCACTCATTCATGTAACCGTTCACCTTTTAGGGCAAGTTGTCTCAGTTCATTGTTTTGAAAGTTTCTTTTAGTTATCCTGCTCATGAATTGAAAGTGAAGAAAATTGCTCATGAGATGGGTATCAAGAGCGTTTCTCCTATCACATGAAGTGATGCCAATGATCAAGATTGTTCCTAGAGGCTTCACAGGTAATTAATTGTGCCCTTCGTACTTTGATGACAGCTCGCGATAGCGCACTTGAAGACATTTCTCTTGATTAAATGATCGGTAAAATGTCTCTGTACACTT